CATGACGGATAACAATATCAGGTTTTGTGACTCTTCAGCAACAATCAAAGCTGAGATGGTGCGTCTTACACTGAGCAGGGGTCTGCCAGGCATGTCCACAAAAGACAGCAGGGACCAGGGCAGCTCTCTTCTGTGTGCCACCAGCTTCAATGAAGCTTGGTTTAAAAAGAAAAAAAAAAAAAAGGCAGAAATAGAACTTTATTTCTACCAAACTGAAAAGTATGAATCAATTGTCTGTCACTTTCCCCTTTTGCTGCCACTCCCCTTTCTAGCAGTCCTGCTTCATATCTTTCATCAACTCCCCTCCCCTGCTCCTCTTAATTAAGGCTTGCCCACTATCCTAATAATGGTGTTGGGCCTTTAGATACCCAAGTAAACATTCCTGGGTGATGTGACTTACCAAGGCCAGCTCCAGTGCCGCCTCCTTCTGGAAGGCCTCCCTGAAGCCATCTGCCTGCATTGGATTTTCTAAACCCTTCGTCTGATTTCCCACAGGGTGCTGGTCCCTTTGCACTTTTTATTGTGGTTGCCGATGTACAAGCCTCCTCTCCTCCACCAGACTGTGCTCCCTTGGGACAAGGATCGAGGTCTAAAGATCTTGGTATCCCCAACAAGAAGAGTTCACAAGCAGGAACTGTGGCTGCCCCAGGATCACCCAGGGAGCTTCCTCAAAGTTCCTGCAGCCCACTGCTGGGGCTCTGAGTCTGGCCTGGTGCCTGGAAGTCTACATTTTAAGTCAGCCAGGCTTGTGATCCTCAGCCCCATGGCACCCCTCTCTTGCACAGAGCAGGGCTTTAGTAACCTTGTTGCATGACACTCCATTTACAAATGAAGACATACACCAACAAGCAGAGTGATTTTGCCAATGAGAATGGAATCAGAAGGGGGACCCCCACCCCTGATTCTGTGTGCAGCGATGGTTTAAGACCATCCCTCACAGTTCCTCCTGCCCCAGTTCCTAGGAGCCCGGTACAAAGAAGAGGCAGGGCTTCACATGGACTCTCTAAAGAAGCCAAGGTTCCAAGAGGGTGTCAAGCCAAGTGAAGGGAGATAGCTGACTGAAAACTAAGTAGGTACTTGGGGCAGAGGACTCAGAGCAAGACTTTGGTTACAGGTAGATGCTGCGCGCTTTAAAACATTCAAGAGAACTGGGGTCCTGGCTGGGTTGTCAGCCACGGCGTGCAACTCAGGAGCCCACAGTGAGCTGGAAGCCTTCAGCAGTCCACTGTGATGCACCTGAAAGAGGCCCAGGTGTTTGAGCGCTGGGACTGAGTCAGGAGACCTGGACCTCCAGAAGACAGCAGCTCAGCCGGGTTTCCTCCTGCCCCTGCAGGTTCGTGTGTGCCCAACTGCCCAACCCTGTGCTGGAGAGCATCAGCGTCATCGACACGCCAGGGATCCTCTCCGGGGAGAAGCAGAGGATCAGCCGAGGTAAGCGCAGTGCCCGGCAGCTGTTGGCTCTGGGCCATGTGGTATGTTCAGGTGCATTCTCTCTGTTCTATGCCAGAAGAGAAGCACCCGAGACCTTGCTGTCCCTCTGTGAGTGGCCACTCCTCCTGTGCTATTGGGGCATTTTACATCAGCAGGCCTACCTAGACAGGGGCGAGCAGACAAATCCACATCCACTCAGGAGACTGCCAGCCGTCATCTTCTCATCTGGAAAATGGAAACATCAGTACTTGCCTTACTGATCTCATCCAGCTTATTCATTCTCCAAGAGGCACCTTCCATGGCCCAGAGCCTGGCTTGCTTCTTGGGTTCCTGCCATCACTGCTCCCGGGGTAGCTTGTAGCTCTGCAGGAAGCCAAACGCTTATGGAGAACCTCAGCTCACCGCAGTGAGTGCCTCAGGCCCATGAAAGCACTCTGAGACTGTTCTCTTCAGACCACTGTGGGGTAACTGCTCCTTAAGGGAGGTTGCCCAGCATGGTGGAGAGGTGACAATTCTGGAGCCAGCCTGCCACTGCCACCTCTGGGTGGAATGACCTCTGGCAGGTTTCTTTATCTTTATTTCAGTTATTTCATCTGTAAAATGGGGAAAGGGTGAACATTACCATCTATCTTTTAGGGTGGTTTGAGCAGGGGATACTGTAGGTGAAAATGCCTTCTGCCTGGCACACAGCAAGCGTCCAATAAACCTAAGATCTGTAGATCATCGTCATTGTCGTCATTCCCATTGGTTTTGTTCCAGCTCTGAAATGCCAGACTGATGCTATAAAAAGATAAAAATAGCCACTCTGGGCTCCCAGCCCCACCTCTCCTGCCACTTCTCCTGCCGTGTGCCCTGGCTAGCCCCCTACCCTTCCTGTGCCATGTGTGCTACTTCTGGCAAGAAAATTAGATGAAGTCACACCCACCCCAATATTGGAGCTGGGATTGGAGCCAAATCAGCACCAGGAAGTCAGCCTCTGGGAAGGGGAGGCTTTGGGCTGGCAAGAGTTCTCTGGGAAGCGGTGAACTCTCGCCAGCATTGACCTGAGGTGACTGCCTGCTTCTCCTGTGGCATGCGCCTCAGCCCTCTCTGTTTTCTGTGGCTCCAGCTGGTGTGGGCATAGGGCTATCCTGTCCATGTCTATTCCACTATAGTGGGAGCCCAGAAACCTGTTTCCACAGTGACGTGGGCTGTCCAAGCCAGGGCCAGTCCTCTGTGAAGTCACGTAGTACCCAAGGACTCCACACTGCCCTTGGGTGGAAGCCGGTCCCCTTGGCTCCCACGCCCCCCCCCGGGGCCCCCCCCCCCCCCCCCCCCTGCCACTTCTCCTGCCGTGTGCCCTGGCTAGCCCCCTACCCTTCCTGTGCCATGTGTGCTACTTCTGGCAAGAAAATTAGATGAAGTCACACCCACCCCAATATTGGAGCTGGGATTGGAGCCAAATCAGCACCAGGAAGTCAGCCTCTGGGAAGGGGAGGCTTTGGGCTGGCAAGAGTTCTCTGGGAAGCGGTGAACTCTCGCCAGCATTGACCTGAGGTGACTGCCTGCTTCTCCTGTGGCATGCGCCTCAGCCCTCTCTGTTTTCTGTGGCTCCAGCTGGTGTGGGCATAGGGCTATCCTGTCCATGTCTATTCCACTATAGTGGGAGCCCAGAAACCTGTTTCCACAGTGACGTGGGCTGTCCAAGCCAGTGCCCGCTCCTCACCAGGCCCCTGAGAGGAGTCACAGAGTGACAAGCGGGCATTCCCCTAGCTACACACAGATGGAGCCAAGGGGCGCAGGCCCTTGGCCCAAGTGCAGGCCTCTAGTGCTCCTGCCTGCCACCTGGGCTTCTCTTCTGAAGAGGCGGGGTAGCAGGACCAGAGGCTCTGTCATTCAGGGGTGCATAGTGGCTGTGCAAGAGCAGCAAAGCCAGCCTTGGCCAGGTGGAGAGGACAGACAGGCAGAGAGCACCACCACAGCAGCCAGCCCAAGGGCCAGGTTCAAGGGGGGAATCACCCTGGAGAAGTGGAGGGGGTGGGACTCCTGAGCAGGAGAGCCCCACCCTACCTCCCATTTCACTTGGGACATGACCCTGGGAGGGAGACAAGGAGGAAGCAGCTGAGTCAGGGGATGTGCTGTCATTGGCAGCCCTAGTGTCCTCTATGAAGCCTGGGTCCCTCAGCCCACGAACTCTGGGCTGTGCGGTGGAGCTGGTCTGAAGCTCTAGAACCCACAGCCTGGGAAGAAAGAGGCGTCTCCTCTCTTCCTCCTCTTTCTAGCTTACCTATCTGTTGTCAGTACCTGGCTCAGGAACAGCGTCTGTGGAGGGCAGCTTGGGTGGTTCTCTGTCTTGCTTCTGTTTGTTTCCCTAAACAACCCTTCCTTCCTAACTGGCCCCACCTACCCCAAGTGGTTCAGCTGGGACTTATCCTGAGTTTAGACCTAAAGGGGATTCACACTTTCCATGGGCAGCCAGCCCATGTCTCCTCAAAGAGGGCTTGGAGAGCCAGGGCTTCTCAAGCTAAACTGCCCAGGGGATGGGGCAGGGCATGGTGCGTAACCTACAAGGCCATGCAGAGTGATTAGGATGAGACGGCCCAGGACTGCAGCCTCTGGGGGCACTACTCTAATGTTTCTGAGTTCTGGGCATTAGCCCAGAACTGTGTGGTTCTGGGATCTGTGTGGTCCCAACAGTTCACATTTTCTCCCTGAGCCCCAATGAGTTAACACAAGGTGCCAATATGCATCACACACCTTCATCTGAGGGCCACAGACTGTAATGGAAACAAGACCTCAGCTCCCTTCTTCCTCCCTCGTCTGCCTGCCAGGGCTGCCCTCCATACAGCCTAGAGTCTGTGAATGGTTTCTTTTGTAGTTGTGCAGTACACAACCTGTGCAGCTGCACTGACAGCCCCACCGCAGGGACTCCTGTCTTCTGCAGCTTCCATCCCACTCCATTATTTCCCTGTCCTCTACCTTCTCTCCTGCCTTTGTCTTTGAACCTCAGTAGCTACCCTATACAAACTGGGTATGCAGGGTTTTTGCCTGTAGTGTCTATCTCATCCCACCCCACACTCGGTCCTGCTCACCTCGGAAGAAGTGAAGCCCTCAGGAACAGCTCTGCAGGCGTGTTTGTTCTCTGCCCTCCTGAGCAACCCATGATAAAGCAAGAGCTGGGGGCTGGGCACCAACACTGCATTGCCAGCCTGGATAGGGCTGACCACAGTGCCATGAAGAGACCAGGAAAGTCAGGGGGAGGGCATTAGACACCCTCGCTTATCAGTGAGACCCCAAAGAAAGAAGATTCCAGTGTGTAGAGCCCCTCGCCATCCTTCCTCACAACCAGCCACAGAACCTGTAGTTCTAGTTTATACCTAGACCCTTACACACACAGGCACACACCCCTCAGCTCCTGCATATGCACACAAACCTGTGCATCGCACCAAACTTGCTTTGTCACAGCTTCTGAGGCTCTCAGAGCAGATTTGGCACTTCTTCCCTTTCTCTGGCAGCTCAGGGCAGGCCACATTAGGGTCCATGGAGAGTCCTACTGACCATGCTGAGAGAGGGAGCTTAAGTGAAGGACAGGTACAGCCTGAAATTCAGTCCACATTCCACTCACCAAGCCTCAGGCCAGGGCTATGGTGAGTCTAGACGGGTCTGTGTCTCTCTAGGAAAAGGAGCAAGACTATCAGGTCAGCTCACAAGCACTGATGATCCACATTTGATGCTCTACCCTGCAAAGCGAGCTGCTCCCAGGCCTCAGGAGCACATAGGCTCCAGCTAGGGCCCACCAGTGTGGTCCTTGCACAAGGCGTGTGCCTGCCAGGGCCCAGTGGGTGTGTATCTTGGACAAAGGGAGGGGCATACGGGAAGCTGAGTCTAGAGGTCTCTGGCCAGCATTTGTGTCTGGATGAAGATGCCCTGGGGTGTGCAGGGAGGCAGTTGCTGGAAGCAACAGGATGTGTCAGGGCTCACTACTGGGAAGAAGTCAGGATGCAGCAGAGGTGGGAGGCTCCAGAAGACTGAATGTCCTCACACTGAGAATCGTATTTCCTGGCTGCTTCTCACTGAGAAAGAACCACCAGCCCCACCCTAAAACAACAGCCCCTGGGACTTTGAGCTCCTGTCGGAGACTATGCAGCTGGAAGCTCCAACTAGTGGGCCCTTTCCTGCACAGGTGAGCTCCACAGGGCCAGAGCAGGTGGACCTGGCCCAGGGCACACAGCCAGAGTGGGAACTCTGGTCTCCCAGTTGCAAGGCCAGTGGCTTTCAGCCCATTACCATCACTGCCCATGCAGAGGCTAGAAATGAGAGCTAACGTCTCCTCTGGTTTCCTTTGCAGGGGATGTCTTTGGGGTCAGACCCTAAAGGGACTGGGCTATTCCAGGCACCCTCATTGGAACTGGGCCACACTTGAGGGCCTCTGAGGCTCCCCAGACTATGTGCTACTGTATGCCTGTGGGAGCACCCACATAGGCCATTCCTGAGCCCTTCTAAAGGCTTTCCAGGTGGCTCTGTGCTCCTCTGAGGCCTGTGGTGGTCTGCTCAGGCCACTCTGCAGTTACTTCCTAAGGCATCTAGGGTGGTGATTCCCCCATTGGCAGCTAAAATATTCCCATACCTTGGAAAGTTATTTCTTGTCTGCTAAAATGTCTTAAAATCTTGATAGAGATCTCTGGGGGAGATGCTTTCCCTGTATCCGCTGCAAGTGTGTGCCTGGCAGTTCCAGGCTCGCACTCAACTGTGCACAAAGAAGAGAATGTAGACTGGGAATCAAGGATCTGGGTTCTTGCCTTGCATTGCCCCCTCCTGGCTGTGTGAGCTTGGGCAAACCCCTTAACCTCTCCGTATCCTCACTCCCTCCCCCATAAAAGGCACATGCCTATTTACCTCCTGGCATATGGAGAGTTACTAGAATCGAATGAGGTCTGCAGCTGAAAGTGCAAAGCAATGTGCAGCCTTGTCAGTCAGTGCCCGCACTGCGTTTCAGTCTCTGAAGGAAGCCGTTGGACGAT